ATAAAGACTATATGCAGTTAGAGACTCACTTTGAACATTGGTGTTGATTGAAAAGGGACGGGAGAAGTGACTCTTTTTGGCATTGGTGGTTGGAATGGAAAGAGAATATATTTCTCCGATAAATAGTTGTAGAAAAGAGAATGGTAATTGAGTGTTGAATCTTCTTTGATGAGAGGATAATGTTTTGTCTTGTGTGATAGGAAAACAAGTCCAAAGACAAAAGAAGGATGACTCAAGTATGCCAAAAGTGGAAATTAGCGCCATACCTTTCACAAAAAGCGATGTTTAGTGACGGTGTTGAACATCATTCTTCTCACAAAAAAGTACAGTGTTGTGAACATCATTCTTCTCACAAAAAAAGTACACTCAATGACACTTTTTAGCATTCAGTGTATAGAGTTAAATGTTTCATACCTATAATACAATGTGATTGTGCTGAAGTGGCATCCAAGGGTTGGCTTAACTTAACGCCAAACATTCGTAAACTCAATGGTCAAGAGACTTAATATTATCTTATTCACAAAAAAGAAGGTTCAACGTCACCATAGCGTTGTTAAACACTATACTAAATACTTTTTAGAAAATCTTATGTGTTGAATTAATTAAATGAGCACATTTTTCTTGAATAAGTTCAAACAATTTTAAATATAAAAATTAGTCAAATTATAACTCTCTTGAACACAGTATCAAATCCAAACAAACGTATTAACAAACCAAATATATCATCAAAGTTGTCAATTCTTCAAAATTCTACTTACCAAACTTTGAATTTCTTCCTCGATTTTCTGGCCCATAACCTGAACTGCCACACGGTACTTGCTAACCAGTTCCTCAAGCTCCAACCCTTCCACAGGATCAACGACAAAGGACCATTCTAACATACATCCATTTGACTCATCATCATTATCGCTCAAGACCTTCATCGTAGATTCATACGAATTGAACCCGATGTTGCTCTCCACTATCTCATACTTGAGCCAGAAGTCAACATCATCAACGGCAATCAGCCTCTCCTTGGACCAGCTCACACTTTCTGGACCGTTGGATGGGATGGAGAACCCGGCGCAGTATCTTATGCAGCCAGGCTCCACCGTTTAGATACGTTGAAAAAGTCCGTGAGCACGTGGCGGAGCGTGGCGGAAGAGATTGTGGATATATTGAAGAAGTCTTTACCAGAGAGACAAAGCGTGTGCTTTGGTGACGTTTCGCACCCTCGCTGAAAGCCTGCCTTTCCCATCTTTTGGTGATGATGGGAATCTGCTCCATTTCGTGGATAAGAGGATTTACTAGGTACAACAAGTAGACTAATCGCCCATGTCTCATGCTCACTAATCAACCATACACCCTTATGCATTCCATCACACATTCATGCTCCATCACTACTCATAAATCAAACCTAACCCTAAACACATAAATTATTCTCATTCTTCACATTCTGCAGTTCATATGCTTGTCCCTCATCCATTTTCCCTAAAAATGCACATTTCCAACAAAAATACACTAGAATAATTGATTATCATAAGTGAAGTTATCTTATAAAGTAGTATTAATTTGATAGCTTCAACAACAACAACGTATCAAATTTGGCACCGTTTGTCGGGGAATACGGTTAGAATTTTATCAATTTAACCCAGAAGTTGAACGAAAATTGCGTAAGCTGCGAAAAATATTACAATTTGGGTGTTCTACTTAGGGAACATCTTCCACATCTGAAGCTACTATAGAAGCCATACCATCTCCATCATCTCCAGTTATAAATATATTCTCTAATCCTTTACCTAATCCTAACCCAAACGAAATGGCACAAAAAACTATTAGACAGTTAGCTACCTCCCACAGTCATTCATAATAACAATGAATATCTTGATGAGGAGTGGAAGCTGAGATCTGACCTATTAAATGCCCTACCAAAATTCAGTGGGTTACCAAGGGAGAATCCACACAAACATTTAAGAGAGTTCCACATGTTGTGTGAAAATTTTAGATATCCTAGGATCATAATAGAAAATTTGAAGATGAGAGCTTTTCCTTTTACTATTCAAGGAGCAGCTCGAGATTTGTGGTACTATCTCTCTGCGTGGATTACCAAATTGAAAACTATAGAAAGGCTTTTTCTTGAAAAATATTTTCCAGCATCTTGAGTATTTGTTATTCGTAGAGAGATCCAAAATATAAGACAAAGGGATAGAGAAACTCTTAATGACTACTGGGAAAAAGTTAACAAAATTTGTGCTTACTGCCCTCAACTTAAAATAAAAGAACATAAGCTTATTCTAAGCTTTTATGAAGGCTTAAGTCTGATACATAGGTCATGGGAAAATGCTGCAAGTGGAGGATCTTTCTTAGACAGATCGCTAGGAGATGCTGGAGAGCTTATAGAGTGAAAGGCAACAAATAGTCAGCAGTTTGAAACAAGAGCAAATTCAGAATCCTTGTTTAAAGAAGTTCATGAGATGGGAACTAGTTCAGTAAAAATGATAAATGAAAGAATTGATGAGCTAGAGAAAAACTTGATGAAATTTTGAGCTTGATTAAAACTTCAACTCCACCAGTTGTTAAGGTTTGAGGAATTTTTCACTTCAATAGGACATTATACTAATGAATGTCCTAGCTTAACATAAACTTCCATGGAGGAACCATCTCAAGCTTTTGCTGCAAACATGTTTGGAGGCAATAAGACATATCAACAACACAAAAAACCTTATGTTCCACCTCAGTTAAGGCAATAATCTCAACCTAAAATGTCACTGTAAAATTTCATGAAGACAATAGTTGATCAAAATACAGAAATTAAGAAATCAATTGTTAAATTGACTCAAAGGGTGAATAAGTTAGAAGCTAAATAACCAAATAAACTACTTGCACAAACTGTGATCAACCCATGCAATGTAAATGTTATTACTTTAAGAACGAGTAAGCAAGTACAAGGCCCTGAAGGAGTCCAAGATGATAAAGGTAAGGAGAAAGAAGACATACATATTGATAACAATGGGAGACCAAGTGAACCATCACTTGAGACTACCATTGATGAATCAAGGTTAATATCCTTTAATTCTTCTTCTAAAAATTCTTCTTCATCTTATTCTCCTCTTCCTCCATATCCAAATCGGTTCAAGCCGAGAAATAAGAAAATAGAGGAATTGGACCAAGAGATTTTGAATACTTTCAAAAAGGTGGAGATCAACATTCCCTTACTAGATATTGTTAAACAAATCCTAAAATACACCAAAGTTTTTGAAAGAACTTTGCACAAATAGAAGATGTATTAAGGATAATGAGGTTGTGAATTTATGAAGAAATGTTTATCTTGGTTAAGAAACATATTGAAATACCACAAAAATGCAAGGATCCCGGTATTTTTTTGTTCCTTTTGTTATTGGAAGTTCAAAATTTGACAATGACATGCTTGATTTAGGAGCTTCTATAAATGTAATGCTTATTTCTTTATCTCTAGGACTTCTGATTTATATAGGATGGAATAGGTGGATACGTGTAATAGGCAATCTGCACAAAGTAGAATAGATATGCATGCAGTAGATATGTTTTTTCTCTTATCACTTTTGTTGTTTTTAAACGTTGAGCATTTAATGACATTTAATGTCCTTTTTGCGTTTTCTATCGTTCAGGTAAGATTTTATCATTTAAGCTTCTTACTGAGATACCAAGCAGTTGATTGATAACTTCACCGTTGGTGAAGTGAATCATTTAGCACATGGTATCATCTAAGCTATCTAAACGCTTTAGAGTTTTCTTTTCTATTTAGTGCATGCATTTAATAAGGTGTTTTCTATCATAAGTTTTTGGAATGTCATGTGAGACTTTCAGCGTGCTTTCCGAAAACATTGTCTTTGATACTTTTACTAACTAACCATATTGAGAGTTGATTGATTAACGTAACACTTGCATTTTAGTAGACTCTTATTGACGCTTTGATTTGGGAAACTTTTAGTGATGTGTATTGTTTATACATAGGTATTTTTCCAAGAGTTTGCCTAAGTTGTTTGGGTTAGTTTTCATGTATCACTTATATTCTAACTATTTTGTTATTGTAGTGATAACATTATTATATACTCATTTTGTTTAATTGTTGTTTGTTAAACATCAAAACACATAAGAGTGTTTAAACCGTTCAATCTTATAAATGATCTTGTTTTAACATTGAAGTCATTGAACATTGATTATATATCATACAACGTCCCATAATAAAATTTTTAATAAATATAACATCATCAAATAACATTCTTGATAAATATCAATAAGGTAAAATAAAAATATATGATCAAAATAAAAAAATACAATATAACAATAGTTATATAATTAAATAACAAAATCATTTTTAAATTTAAATTGGAAAACACAAAAAAGATTCAAATTTTAAATATAAATATAAATAAAAATTTGAATAAAAAATACATAAATTTTTTTTATAAGAAAGTAATTAGAATTTTAAAATTTAGTAAAATGATAAACTATTAATATAATATAAAATTTTATCATGTTAAAAGTTGACAATTTTGTATTACTATATTGTAATATAAATTGTTTAAATAAAATAAATTTTATTTAAATAAATAAAATAAACTACATTTAAAATAAAATGAAAAAATGTTATTTTAAAGTTTGCTACTTTACCTCTATATATTCCCCCTTCTTTCACTAAGTAATTAATTGCATATGTTCACCTTTCTCCTCGATAAACTTCTTCGACGTTCTTCATCATCATTCATCTTCTTTATTTCGGAGGCCCTCTCACGTTGCCTTCTTCTTCCAATGGCTTCTTTCCCTATGCCAACAACAATACTACACGATTCCTACTAAGGTAAAATATTTCTTCTTTCTTTTTTCTTTCTTTCTATGTGAATATTGTGATAACGTGTCTACTCACTTTTTTCTTTTATGATAAAAATAAAATAAAATTATAATTATAAAAATAAATATAAGTAGTTTTTACTATTCTATATTTTATAGGTAGTTTTCTTTATTATATATAAATATCTTAGTTAAAAAAAACTGTGAAATAAAAAATGTCACTTGAAGATAAAATTGGTAGTGTAATATTTTAATTTAAAAAGCAATTAATTATTAAAGGGTAAAATTAAAAAAATGTGTAGACCAAAAGGGTGAATATCCTTTTTATAATGGTATAAATACAATATAATAAATCTATATATATATATATATATAAATATAAAGAATAGAGAATCTCACAAAAGCAACACAAAAAACAAGGCCATTCGATAATGTCTCCGTGGCTATCTTTCTCCACTTTTCTTCTCTTGTATTAACGGAACTCCTTCGTCCCATTTCCTGCAAATCCATGCTCGCATTTACTCATAAATTAGATGATCCAAACAAGGGAGACTATCTCATTTTTGGTCGCATAATCAAAAGTCTCCTTTAAACAAATACAACTTAGAGTCTAAGGAGAGACCTGATGAAAAGGGTGAATAGATGAAGATAGTGAAAATCTTGTAATATTTTTAAACACAAAAAACACACTTTAAGTTTAGTTATATATATGATACATAACAAAAAAGATCGATAACAAATCATATAAGATGAAAGTGTTTTGTTTGACAAAAAATACAACATTATGCAGGTTTGTTTCACATGTTACATAACATTGATTTGTTTAGATGATGAGCCCATGAAAGAAAGATAACCTTGTACTACATGAAAATATATAAGTGCATAATATTCTATGTTGTAGGAAATGTCCATTTCTTTCGTTTTCTAAAGAGTTTTGTATCAAAAAACAAGTCACATAAGAAGATCTTTTAGATAAATAGTTAAAGTTACTTTTCTTCAACAATTCTTTAAGTCACGAGGTGTCAACTTTAGAAGAATTATCTAGTTCGTATCACATTGCACTTTAAACAAATTCAAGGAAACAAATTCAAGGAAAGACACATTGTCAAAGAAAAGATAAGTACATCTAATTATTAAAATGTCACGTAAAGAAGGAAATAACATTTTTTTTTTATTACATGAAGTGCATTTAGGGCATCCTTCAATATCAAACTCGTCATATGAAAGGTATTCAAAAGAGTTGGAGTTGCTAAACAACCAAAACCAGTTTCAACATAACTATTTTCTTCAAAACCTATGTGATGCAACTTAAGAAGAAGAAGATAGATAAACTACATTGTTTAGTGATTAATTAATATACTGAAAACTATGTATGAGATTAATATCTCATGTGCTGAATATAAGTGTTTTATTTATAATAGAAAAAATATGGGCTAAGCCCAAAGTATAAATAAGGA